TGTGATCAGGTGGTAGATCAATCAAGTCCCAGACATGGTTTGTCCTCATATACTCAATTTCGTCTTCCAAAGCTTTTCTCCATTCTTCCTTGTCAGGAGATGAGAGAGCCTCTTGAACTGTTTTAGGCTCCGTATTATCTTGTGGAGCAATCATAAATGCTTCCCCTTCAATCTCAAATTGACGACGGGGAATACTATTACAATTACTTTTACTCAACTGAACTTCTTGAGAATTCAGTTCGCCAGGCGATGCTACACTCCCACTAGGTCTTGTATGTTGAGGTAAATCTATATTTCCCCCAATAACACTAGTGGGTGTGTTATCGGGATCTTCCATCTCATGTAATCTGAAGTCCTTATCGATCTCACCTCTACTAGGAAAATCGTTCTCCAAGAACGTGACATCTCGTGACTCCATTTCAGTCACACTTCTATCAGCTTGTTCACCTATGAACACGTACCCTTTGGAGTGTTCAGAGTATCTAATAAAGATACACTTCTTCCCTCTAGGGCCTAATTTGCCATATTTATAGGAAGAATCATGAACATATGCTGTACACCCCTAAGGTCGTAGATTATTTAAGTCTGGTTTTCTATCGGTCCATAATTCATAAGGGGTGGAAGCAACTAGCTTAGAGGGCACACGATTAAGTATATAGATAATAGTCAATAACGCATCTCCCCAATATGAGACAGGTAGATTTGCCTGTCACCATCATAGACCTAACCATTTCTAATAGGGTTCTATTCCTTCTTTCTGCAACCCCATTTTGTTGCGGAGTACCAGGAATTGTCAATTGTCTTACAATTCCCTTTTCATGACAAAGAGCCTTGAATTGCTCAGATAGATACTCACGTCCGTGATCAGTTCTCAATGCCTTTATTGTTTTGTTCAACTGATTATCTACCAAAGCTATAAACCGCCTAAAGCAATCCAATGCTTCGGACTTATGGGAGATTAGAAAAACATAACCGAAACGTGTGAAGTCATCTATAAAAGTGATGAAACATGAGGCTCCATGCCTCGCCCTCACATTTAAAGAACCACAAATGTCAGAATGTATAAGTTGCAATGGAAGTTTAGCTCTGGTTTTTTTACCAAATGGTTTTTTAGTTATTTTTCCCGCTAGACAATGTTCATATACAGGTAGTTCAACATTAGCGAGTGACCCCAAAAGGCCTTCTCTTGCTAATCGTTTCATTCTTTGTAACCCAATGTGATCCAATCTAGCATGTCAAGTACTTGCATCAATTTTCACATTACTAGAAGATGCAATTAAAGAAAAACAACCATAAACATTAACTTTGTACACATCATAGTCAATGTCTAACACCATAAAACCATTCAATACATAACCAGAACCGTAGTATACTGTTCTAAACAAAATGTCAACACAATCATCATGAAAATTAAATACATAACCTAAGCCAAGAAGAACAACTACAGAGACCAAGTTTCGCCAAATATCTAGAGCATAGAGGACATCATGTAGGAATAGGTTTCACCACCATGAAAGGTTAATTTACATGTGTCGATACCCTTCACTTCAACTCTTAAGTTATTTCCAACATATATCCATCTTCTTCCAGTGCTCGTATCCGACGATACTCCACAAATGCTCCTCGGTCTCTAGCTACGCTGCCTCAGTTGCTCCCGAGTCTACAGCTCACATTGATGAGATTCAAGTAAGCATTACAGCTAGAAACAAAAGCATTACTCAAAGTAATAGAGTAATGTGGTACCATTTTTCGGCCTGCATTCACGAGCGAAGTGGCCCAATTTACTCACAATTGTAGCACATCATCTTGGCCTTGGCCTTGTCCTTCTTCCCGCCATGCTTCTTGCGTCGGAAAGTCTTGGCTCTCTTGGGTGCCCTATCTATCTCTTTTCCTTTGTTGTTGAATTTATGGTTCCTCTTGCGCTTAAAGCCCGAAGCGCTTGCCCGAACCTCGATTCAAGAACATAAGCATGGATAGAGGATTTTGCAGCCTTTAGGCGCTCATCTTCTAATTCCAAATAACGCGCAATATCGTCAAAAGTGACGATATTCTCATTGTGCGTCATATAGATTTTCATATGTTCTCAGCCTGTTAGGAAGAGACCTTATGATAGTCTGAACTTGCTGTTCGTCAGTTAAGGTATGACCTGCGGACTTCAGCTCACACATCATATTTGACATCTCCCGAAGATGCTGCCTCATCGATAGATTTGAGCGCTTTCGGTATATGTCAAATTTAATGGTGAGTCTCCTCAACTTAGCGGTAGACGTACCCCCTAACTTATCTTTCAAGGCAACCCATATTGCTTGAGCTTTGTCATAACTTTCAAACTCACACATGAGATCATCTTGCATACAACTCAGCAACGTGATGTAAGCAATGCTATTTTTTTCTTTTTCCAAGCTTAAAATGTTTCTTGATCTCTTCTATGTTGAGTAGAAGTTCCATGCTCAGGTTCATCCATGGTGTGATTGAGGGTTTCCAAAACCTCTTGCTCCTCAAGGATATACTGAACTTTTCGGTGCCAAATATTATAATTGTCACCGTTCAGCTTTTCACCCTTGTTGAGGTCAGTCACAATGGTCTTGGATGCCGAAGCCATAATCAATTTCTACTACATATTGACATAATAAACATAGAATCAATACTAGCACATATTCCACATAAACACACATTTTAATTTGCAACAAAGACAAACTAAATTAATGATAATTCAACAAAAGATATCGAAACGAAAGTTCACTATGTTCCCAATCAGATTCGACATACAATTGTTCTACTATCATTAACTTGTTTAATTTGCGCAAATTTTAAGTTCTAGATGAGAACTCCTTTAAATTCTACCAACCTACCAACTCCCACTTGAAAAAAATGATTATAATACATCATGCAATGATCGCATTCTCTCATACAATTATTGACAACAGCATGATGTTAACCAAAATACAGGTAATTCAAGCAGAATACAAGTAAATAAAAAATGGATCTCCAACCATTGTTCGAGTCAGCTCGGAACTGAAATTGCAAGCACCTTAAACCTTATAAACATGTCATCAATGAACCCTGCTCTACATAATCTTTATGTGGTCATTTACATGTAAGCCAGCTTCTGTATTTCCAAAACCATAGGGAAATACAAGTAAAATGCAATAATACCCCAAAAATACACGTATTTAGAGTTCTGTATGCATTTTCATACCTTTAAAAGCTTCAAACATATAAAATAAGTATACCACAATGTAGATAATTTCAATACGAACATAACCGTACTAACCACGCTCTAATCGGAGCTCCCACGAGCCGCCTAAGTGCGCGGCATGTGTGGCACACGCGCCTGCCCAATACGGCTTCTGAGTCGGTCCAACTGGTTCGACCGTTGACTGGTCCGACCGGTTGACCGTTGACTGGTCAACAGGTTGGATCGGTAACTGGGTCGGGTCATCGGGTCGGGTCTCCGGACGGGTCGGGTCGGCTGGTCACCGGAGGTCGGTTCGCCGGCGAGATGACACCATCAATGACATCAGCATGTCTGTTACCGACAATTTTGCTGACGTCATCGATGACGTCAGCACACGCCGGTTGGCGACGTGCGCGTGGCTTTCATGTGCTGGCATTCCTAGCGCGTGGTCGCGCGTGGGGCGTGTCGCCGGCGACGTCGCGACTTCTGGCCGCGCGTGGCGGCGCGTCCGGAGGTTTCCGGCGGCGTTCGACCAGCCGTTCTACTCGTCTCGACGAGTTCTTCAACTCTGTATAATAATATATTATTTTTAATGAAAATAAATATTCGATACAGGGTCAAACAGAATGGCGTTCATCCTCAAAACCCGTTCGTCGCGTCCGATTTCGTTTTCGACGATTCTTGTTGCAATTTCCGAGCAATGAACATCTAGATGATATGAATTCTCTCAATCCCCATATCAAACAACAAGCGAAAAAATTCAATGGAAAAACAAGGCAGAGATCATAACCAAGGCTTTGATACCAATGTAGGAAGTGAGTGTTAGGAGAATCAACTAACCTTTTCGATGCACTCCAAACCAATTTTCCAGGAACGTACGTTGAATCACCAGCGCGCGATGGACGAATCTACTTCACGTTGGTCCGAATACAATCACATGGAAAGTATTCTCGTTCCATAGCGTTAATGCCGATTGTCTTCTCAAAGTAGATACGGAATCCTTATGCGTCAAGAGAGCGAGAGAGTTCTGATTCTTCAGCCTTTACTTATCTCTTGTTCGATATTCTTCTTCTAAGGAAGTTACCTTAATTTCTCTTAAGAAACTCCCCTCGCACCTCTTCAAAAGGTGTCTCTCAGACATACTTCTTATTAGAGCAAATGGTATTCCTTGGACACATACATCATGGGCGGACCGACGAAATATAACATATTATGATTTCAGTGTTCAAGTATGGTTTTCTTTTTGCACACCACCAGCCACACTCACTTATTTATGATCATCTACGTGGAATCACAACTACTTACACATGATCAAAAGACAAAAGATAGATGCAAATACATATCTAGGTATAACGACGGGCTAATATAGTTTATGAAAGGTCGAAAATGCCAATACATACACATATATGAAGGCAAATACATTTGTAGAGGCCCAAGTACGTACCTAACCATTGACGAAAGGAAATAAACCATCTATTTGCTTTTGGCTAGGAGTTGAGACCACCACAAAACCAACAAGCCTCTTAGAACCACATATTTTTGCACTACATAACAATGTTTAATGGAAGCATTTTGCTTAATCACCCATCAGTCAATAAGAGCCAGAGCACTCCAATTGCATATGTGCTATTCATGATGAGTGTGCAATAGCAAGCTTAAATCTAATTATCGGGGTCTAAGTCAGAACAGTTATCTAGGCACATAGGAGGAGCAAAAAGGTCCACTCAAGCATTATCAAGAGAAATTGAGAGTGACAACGATTGAGCAACATCTTGTCTATAAAAGCCCCCACCCATTTGGAGTTCCTTGTGCACAAATTGAAAGACACTCATTAAGTCACTCCAATTGTGTGTCAGTACCCAAACCACTACTATGGCCAAACAAAACCAACTCTCATTCCTCACATCAGCAACTCTTTTGGTCGTTATAGTTTCTGTTTCGGAAACGCTTTGTCGCCCTCTTGGAGAGGAAAACTTGTTAAAGCAACATGAGGAGTGGATGGCAATCCATGGGCGCGTCTACAAGGGCGCGGCCGAAAAGGCCAAACGGTATGAGATATTTAAAGACAACGTTAAGCGCATCAACGCCTTTAACAATGGTAAGGACGTCGGGTATAAGTTGTCCGCAAACAAATTCACGGACCTAACCAACGAGGAGTTCCGCGCTTCCTACACCGGCTACAAGAGGAGTCCCACCAGTGTCCTGTTCTCTGTGGATGCGAAACCATTCAAGTACGCGAACTTCACCGCCACTCCAGCCGCCTTGGACTGGCGAGCCAAGAAGGCCGTGACGTCTGTCAAGGATCAAGGCGAGTGCGGTGAGTGGAAAATCAAAATTTGTCTTGCGAATATGTCAAAATTCTCATGTTGTACTCAAGCTTTTAAAAAACGCAACAATAACTTACTACATAACACTATTATATTATCTCTATTTCACTGTTACATTCTTTTTACACCTATCATACTATACATAGACATATGTCTTCTATTTTGTGCATTAATTTGAATGATTTCTGTATGCCTGCCAAAGAAAACTTACTATTTCCTTGTGCAGGAAGTTGTTGGGCATTCTCGGCAGTGGCGGCTATGGAAGGGATTACCATGCTCAGGAAGGGGAAGTTGGTGCCACTCTCGGTGCAACAACTCGTGGATTGTGACGTTAACGATGAAGGCTGCAGGGGCGGGCTCATGGACAGAGCTTTTGAGTTCATCATAAGCAAGGGCGGCCTCACGACCGAGGCAAACTACCCTTACCGGGGAGACATGCGGACCTGCAACAAGGCCAAGACGGCAAACCACGCGGCCTCGATAACTGGATACCAGGACGTGCCGGCCAACAATGAGAAGGCCCTCTTGCAGGCCGTGGCGAACCAGCCGGTCTCAGTGGCAATCGAGGCGAGCGGGTTCAATTTCCAATTCTACTCAAGTGGCGTGTTCACGGGCTCGTGCGGCACTAGCATCGACCACGCGGTCACGGCGGTTGGGTATGGGAAGACCTCTGGCGGGACCAAGTATTGGCTGCTGAAGAATTCGTGGGGCACCGGCTGGGGCGAGAAAGGGTACATGAGGATCCAGAGGGATGTGAGCTCTAGGACTGGTCTCTGTGGTCTTGCCATGAATGCTTCTTATCCAACTGCATGAAGAAAAAAGAAGATGAAAATATAAATTTTGAGCTTATATATGTCATATGGTTCTTAGGCTCTCTATAAGTACGAAATGATGTCTAGTGTCTCTGTAAGAGAAGCAAGTTTAAGTAACAATATGTCACTAGGGGTGGTGTGTCCTACAACAAAAACTGTATGTTGTTAGCAAAATTAAGGGCCTGCCAAGTTCTACCAAGAACATTTTCTAGTGAATAAATGAAATAGTTCAGCGTGATTTTACGTACTGAACTGTGTCCAATACCAGAAGCATGCCGTGAAGCTAAAGAAACGTCATTTGGGACAACTATTCCTTGATGTTTGGACGATATCATAACTCATGCTTAAATCATTAATCGCATTCCCCAATCATGCCATGAAGCTAAAGAAACGTCATTTGGGAAACCTGATGCAAAATGAAGACAACCGACCAAGAAAAACATATTGCAGTTATTCCTATTTGCTTAATAAGGTTGTAAACAACCGACCAATTACGAAATAAATTTAGAGGATCCCAATAATCCATGTATCAAAATACACACTATATAGTAAAATTGGAAAATATCATAGCTCATTCCTAAATCATACGTAAAATTGGACGATATCATAGCTCATTCCTAAATCATACATCGCATTCACCAATCATTCTATGTCCTACTAAGTTGAATGAAGTCAAAAGAAAATTTCTTAATATTGTCTATTGGCATTCAACACAAGCCCACTACTACCTCATAATGGGATGTCTCAGTGAGCATAAGTCTAAGTCTGACGCAATCCTATCTCCACTCAATTTCCCACGACACCTTAAATAAATGAACTATGGACCAATTAAACTTATGATCTACTCTCTCTGATTTTTATCATTTCATATGCGACTTACATTCGACTAGCACCTTGTTATATTATGTCTCGAATTCGAGCCATTTACGGAACCCGACCTAATTGGATAAGGGTGTGAATGATACCATTCTATTTCGGAAATAAATTTTTGGTATTATATTCTCTGAACGAGTTTCTAAACAGAGATACGCTTTTGATAACGACACAAAATTTCTCTTTATGAAATAAAAATTCTTTTGATAATAACACAAAATTTCTCCCTCTTATGCTACTTTCCATTCATCAACGGGAGGCGGCTGGTGTTGGCCAGCAAGGTATAGCAGCGGCAAGTAGCGGGAGGCGGCGGTCGGTGGGCGGTCGGTGGCCAGGAGTAATTAGAAATAATTAGAAAAAAGAAAACAAAAGAAAATATAGGGCTTTCTTTTGGACTAACCCTAGGCTGTCTTTTCATTGAAGTTTTGGCCGCCGATGGTCTCCCTCTCCAGCTAAGTTGTGGCCGCTAGTAAAGAGATGTGTGGGTCGCGGTCAAAGTTGTTGACCCCTATAAAACGGAAGAGATATTTGGGCGCGTGGGTTCTCAAGCTGTACAGTAGCCGACAGCGAAGGAATTTGTGGGTTTCCTTCGGTGGAGAGCAGGAGCGGTCGCATGAAGAAGAAGATGAAGAAAGAACATCCGTACTTTCTTGTTTTTCAGCAGTATGCGAGTTGTTGCTTGGGCGCGAACGCCAATTTGGGCTAGGAGTTTTTATATCCATTTGAGTTGTTTATTGTAATTACTTAGAGTTTGTGTTTAATTTAGGTGTGAAAAATACTTGAGTACGTCCGCAATTATAAACTCCAATTCTCCGAATATTAATGAATTATTTGCTGTTGGCTCTCCTTATGGATGTAGGTACTAATACATCGGACCGAACCACATAAGTATTTAGGTATCCTTTATCGTTCCTCATTTATTTCTTCGGTGATTTTTGCATTGGTATAATTTGCAAAAATCCGGTTAGCTTCCATGTTCATATACATTACAACAATTGGTACCTCACACATGAATTCGTATACTCTTTGATTTTCCTGCTATACAAAGGTGGTCTACCTTTGCTCTATCAAATTGGAAATAGAAAATCATTACAAAAAAACTAGCCAGCAGGAAAGTATGTGAAGAGCGCCCCCTATGAATGTGAATCCAATTCATATACATCGGATCACATCTACATGATCAAACGATATATGTGGATTGTGACCATATGCAACTAAGTTATTTTTATCACTGAGAGTCACTCTGGTGCAGGTATTATCCAATGACTAAATGGACATAGACCATTTCAGGAAAATTCCCTTCGATCATTTGGATTTTGGAGGGTCAATAAGAAGCACCGAAGTTAATGACTAAGATGAAAAAGCATGACACTGAGAGCTATAATTTAGTGGAACATCGACATGGTGTGTAATGATGAAGGCTGTTCCATTCTTTCCAACCAAAATTCATTACGAATTATAGGAAGTCCACGTCAAGATGCGTTTTCCATCTATCGTATTTTTTAGGACAAAATAAAACATCCTAATGCATTTGATATGGATTTGATAAAGAACTAATTAAACAGGGGATAAGAGCACCGGAGTTCCTTAACTATTGTAGAATGTTCCTGAATATCATTTCTGTACCAGTTTGCCCAGAGTGACTAGGGTCAGGTGAACCCGAAAGGGCCACCGTCGGCACCTTAACTTCAGCAAGAGCAAAGCAGAGAGAGGGCGGGCAGCAAGCTGAGGCAGGCAAGATCGCGGCCTTCACCAACCTTGCCACTTGCTGATGAATGCCTTCGGACCTCACCATTCCTGTGGCAAGAGCGTCACCGCGGAGGCCAGTCCTCATGCTGATTAACAACAAGGGCGCGGTCGTCACCTTGTATCTTGGCAATGCCCTTGCACAGATCAGCAGTGAGGGACCGAGGCCCACACTGCCACGTCTGAGGTCCGCCTTGCACGTGGCAACAAGGTTCAGGTCCTTGCTTCGTCTCAACGACTAGTCAAGTGATGATGAAGATCTCGCTATCTCTGTTTATGGGGACTGCGATAGGCCTAGACGAGGTGGCTGGGACCAACCCCCAGATATCGGTGAGTCGCTGAACTATCGCCGGGGTCGATATGATGAAATTGAAATAGTAGTTCAACATAAATCCAACAAGGAATAATAATCCGCCGAGTAACAAGACAATTAGCAAGGACATGATCTCTGTATGAAAAATGAGGGGGTATGTTTTACTCAGAATTTTGTTACTTTGTGTTCTATAGGGTGTGGACCTTAGCAAACAAAAAAACCTTTGCATTAGGGATTAGCCAATGAAAATATTACTAATGGATGCTAATTAGCTGATAAACACACAAACGATATTTACGGGGAAAGGGAATAATGAAAGAGCAAAATGGGTAGTGGGATCTGAAAAGTTGCTGTCTAGTGGCTAGGCTGTTTGACTTGGAGAGAGAGAAATATGGCTTTGATATTTGATAAATATGGCATTGGCCCCTTCCAGCCCTGGACGTGGCGCTGCATCTGCATCTTTTATTCTACGGGAGGATTCCATTCGATCAAAAAAAAATTACGCAGCTTGGCAACCCAATTGTTAAAAAAAAAATAGAAGAAGAAGAAGTCCGTACGGACAATTGGGAGACTTCTAGGTTCGTTCGTTTCACAAAAAACATTTTTCATAATTTCCGGTGGAAAAGTTCCTTTGAAAACTGAGGAGGAAAGGAAATCATTTTCAAATCTTCCCGTCCTCTCCTCTTCCCATCGTTCCCATCGTCCTCTCCTCTTCCCATCGTCGGATCTCTAGAGCCGCTCCTCCTCTGTTGCTGCCTCACGCTTCGTCTGCTCCTCCCCCGCTGCTGCCTTGCGCGTCCTCTTGTCCCTCGTCTCGTCCCATGGCCGGCAAGCTCGAGCAAGGCCGAGCCTAGCCTCGCCTCGCCAGATCCGGCGATGCTCGGCGGAGCTCGAGACCGATGAGGCAAGGCGAGGTTCGGCCTCGCTCGCTTGAGGCCGGTTGCGGGCCACAGCGAGCCTCATCGGCCTTGGGCGAGTGAGGCCGAGCCTAGCCTCTCCTTGCCGGATCCAGTGATGCTCGGCCGAGCTCGAGACCAACGAAGCGAGGCCGAGCCTTGCTAGATCTGACGAGGCGAGGCGAGGCCTCGCTTGCCCAGGTACGGTCACCGGCCACGGCGAGCCTCGCCAGCCTTGGGCGAGCGACGCAGAGCCTCGCTTGTGGCCGGTCGCTGGCCTCGTGGCCAAAAACTGGCAGAGAAAGAAAGAAAAAGAAATAAAAAAGAGAAAAAAAAGATTTATTAAAAATAATGCATGAAGGAAAATATTTTTCATATCGAACGACGGAAAATATTTTTCGAGACTTTTTTATATTTCAATCGAACACCGAAAAATTATGTAATTTTAAAAAAAATGACTTTTTAAAAAATATTTTTTGAAAATGTAATATTTTATGTGAAAAGAACGGAGACGTGGTATCTTATCCCTCAAGTGGGAATCACCGTCTTCTTTTTCGTTGCGTTTCATTCTCCATAATCATTACATTCTGAGTCGCAACTAAGAAATGAGAGGAGAGGTTAACAAATGTCCGAAGTGGACGGGATTTGCACTTCATTGGTTAGGAAAGGATGGGGTAAAACTCCACTTGCGACGTGACTTCCCCGTCAGTCTTTTATGACCTAATTGACCGGACTTTTTCTTCGGTCACGAAGAAATGGAAAGCTTAGTGCATTGGTAATGGAAGAGAAAGTTAAGTGGTCCAATGGCAATAGAAATCTCTTTTGACTATTACTATTGCAAAAACTTGTTACTCTTTGATTGGCTGCAATTTGTTAGGCTAGTGGCAAACACTACACTATTACAATTATGATGTACAATATGTACCATCATCCTATAGTACAATGGCTACAGCATGTCAAGAACCCACTACCAATTAGTGCATAAATATTGCGCAGATAGAACCACAAATCTATATGCACTTCGGATCAACAACTATACGTGTTCGAAGGATTTTTCGTGCATCTCCACTAGTCCACATTCTCGGGTTGTCTCTGTTACTCTTTTGATTGGCTGCAATTTGTCAGCCTAATGGCAAACATTATACCATCGGTGAACGTTGTCCAAAAAGATCTTGTGATAATTTTTCAATGTAGTCTATTTGGCTAATTTAAGCCAAAATAGTTGACGTAGTTTTGAGTCTATTTTTTCAATTTTCATTTTTCTTGTACATTCTTTTTTTCTTTTCTTTTTTTCCTAATCTTTGCTTCTCTATTGTTCATCTACTTCCCTCCACCAAAAAGGACTAGGCAGGCCACCAAGGCCTCGGCGATGACCAGCACCTCTCATAGGCCACAGACAAGGGCCTCCATGCTCTCACTAGCTACAGGTTATTG